TTATGCTTAATGCTTACAACAATGATGACGACCTATCTTTCGTTCTTGTGTTTTTCTTTTTCTAAAATTCGGGCTATTTTCGGTCACCTCGGTTCTTCATGTTTCACTGATTTTGATCTCCAGATTGAGTTACGGCTGTATTCAGAGTTTCGTTACAATCAAATTTGGTTTCAACCTGTTTCTGATGAATTTTGGAGAACCTCCGTTGGAAGCCTGCATACTATTCTGCTTCTGAAACAATGGTTTTCAGATACACAACAATAGCAAAGCAGCACCTACAGATTGCCCTTATCTAATTTTCCTACCTGCTATTGGTTTCGTTTTGTGTGCTCAATTTGGGAGTTGTTTAGTCAGCAATCTTGTGTACTGTTCTTGAACCTATTGGGAAGCAGTAGTTGCCAGGCTGCCTTGGTTTCTTAGTTCAGCTGGAATGCAACGTGTGTGGTTCCTCTGACTGGTTGGCAGATAACTGCTATTGAGTCTGGACAACAAGTTTGTCATCAATCCGCTGAACCAGTACCTGCATCTTCTTTCAGTGTATTAGTCATCAGGAGTACTAGGAGTTCAATAGCTGCAATCTAGCAGGAAAACACTGGTTGTAGCTGGGCCAACATTGTCTATGCACTCCATAGCTTGTGTAACAAATTTGTACTATTCTGGAATTCCGAATGCATGTAATGTTCTATCCATTTGCTTCTTTCAATTTCTACTTCCTATATGACTCTAGACAAAGGAAATTAGTAGCCATGGTTGATCCTATCTGTTTTACCTTGCATCCATTGTAGACACAATTCCTCTGTAGAATGCATATCTACTTTTTACAGAGTGTTGATCAGGTAATTCTTTTAGCCCTTGCTTCTATAATTATACTACTTTTGTTTTTTGATGTTCATAGGGGTAGGCAGGTAAATATGGCTATCTCGCTTTTTGTCAACTTAGTTACAGCTGTTATGTATTCTTACTAATAACTGGTACTTCTGTACCCATAGATTGGATTCACGCGCATTCAATAGCAAACTAATTTTAGGTGATGCTACAATGTTGGTAAATTCCTCATTTTTCTTCACCTGCAGCTTCTCTATATGTCCATGTTTTTCTCAACATTGCTATATCTATATTGACACAAATATCTGCACTGCATGGAGACTGTAAGATGTAGTGCGGTGTAAATTGCTTGATGAGATGTCTCTCAAGGTTGTATTGAAAAATCTGGAAGACTAGCTACTTACACATAGAAACAGCTTTAGGTTTATATAAAAAATCTTTGTGGTTTAATTTGCATTTGCACATCCAAAATGATTTCGGTATTACTGCAATGAATTTTAGGTGTGCATACTGCTGCTTGGGTTCTCTGTTTTCTTTTTCCTGCTGTATGGTGATTCTCAGAAACCTGCAGAATGCACGTTACTTTTGAGCAGTCTCATTTACAATCGTATCTGAATATAGTAAGCTTTTGTGCCATCTCAACGTGATAACAGGAGCAAAGCATGTTTATTTCAGCCAGCCTAGAGGAACCACGCCAGTTGATATTCCTATTATACTACTTTTAGAACTAATACTTGGAGTGTAATATGGCAACTGAATTATGCTACCTCTAGAATAAAAGTGCTATATACATTTAGAATGCTATCTTGGTTATGCTACTTTTAAAACTTTTGCATGCATGGATGCCTTGTTATAGTGAGACACCTGGTTATGAAATTTATTTTAATATTATTGGCACACAATTACATTAATAGGCCGACGGCCAAGCAAATATCGGAACACCACTTTATTTCTTAAAAAAGAACTTGGAACACCACACCAACCGCGCAAGTTTTAGCTTGAAATTTTCACATACCATCTTAATGTTTCGCCATTTTCATGCTCCTATTTCTAAATACAAGATTTTTGAACTAAAAAATATAAGCCGGATGATGTGTACAACAAGTATTTGTTTGTTTGTTACCTGTTTATTCTCGGTGCACTAACCAAGTTGGTCATGTTTTTTTATATGAGGTCAATAGGCACAAAATAATGTGGTGCTTATTCAGTTTAAGGTGGCATCCTACTATAAGAATTTTAGTGAGCTTGGCAACTTAATTGTATTAGAGTAGTGACAACTTTAAAGATTTTTGTTTGTACTATATGAGCTTAAGGTACCACTAATTAATGTTATCCATCATTCGTTTTTTTCTAGCTTGAACGCTTGCCACACGATTATAGTAGATCTGCGTTGACGTTGCTTGAGTCATTATCGAGGTAACTTTATGAAGCTATAATGTTTCCAGTTTTTTAGTGCTCACATTTATATTGTCTTATCTTCAGTATTGATTGGATGATGATCAAGGAGGATCAGTGCATCACGCAACTGAACGAAGGTACATATTTCATCTGTTTTCGTATTAACAAAGGTGCATAATTAACAATTGCAATTATAAGTTCATCAGTTGTTTACTTGCTGAATATGCCTTTATCATGCGCGTCGTCCTATCTATGAACTTTTATTTAACTTGCCAACTGATATATGCTCTCGCTAAAGAAAATGTTTTTGCCATGTGTACATGTAGCAGTGAAATGTCCCCTGTAATATATTATGTCCATATTAGATTATTATATTAGCTATTCCATGCGGTATGAGCTATCAGCCGTTTCAGTACAGAATATTATCTACATGGGTTTGATGTTGTGAATTATTGTATTCAAGGGTCCATGATTTAAAAATCTAGAGCCTATTCCTACTGACGAGTGATGAGCATTGGTCATACTGTGGTGCCCCTCTACACTACCGATGAGTGATGAGCATTGGCCTTTTGTTGACATGATCTGTTGCTGGCTGTGCCGTTATGGAGAAGCCAGAAAAGATGCGTTAGAGCAAAGTGACATGATTTGTTTAGTAACTTCCTGTTTAACTGCTTTTGTTTTTGTGGGGAGCCGGCCTTTTCCAATTATCATCCGTAAGGCGTGTTCCCATAGGCGAAGAATAAGCGTGGGCAGTTGATCTCCCCAGCTCTGCTCTCCTGCTTAGGCACCTTTTTGGTCATGTTCCCATATCATAATCTCTACGATTTGTAAGTTCCAATTGCTGGTTTGTTCAGTGTATGAAGCACCTGGCTAACAACTTTGCATAAAAAAAAATCTCGGCTACATTTTTTATGTGTTTGTCCCCGCAACTTTGAATGCCCCTATTTTAGTATTAATCTTCATAGCTGAGAACCACCACACTATCTGCATGCTTATCCAGACGGAGGCTGCTGCCATCGACAGAATGTGCTTCTGCGGCGTCACTTCCCCTGATCCCCCGTTCCTACTTCAGTCGCCTCCCCTCCTCATCCTGGCCCTCTCACGCTCCGTCATGGCCTTCTCCAAGGGGGATAGAGCAGCAGCACAGGCGCACAGCTGCTGCTGGCGAGGCTGCAGGCCAACCTGGGATGCTTGTGAGAGTGGCGCTGCAGTTCACCTCTGCGCTGTTGTAGCTAGAGGAGCCAAAGATATTGCGATCTCTCATTTGCCTTCATACCCTGAACTGTCTGAGGGAATTTGACCATAACACGAACCACATATTAGATTCAATTTTACCTATAATTATGCTCTATGCCACTTCATAAATTGTGCTATTCTTTTGCTACCTATGCTATACTAAACTATTGTACGCTTGTGTGTCTCAGCAACAGAGCATGTACGCTTGATTGGAGGACAACAACAACAAAAGGCCATCACCTGTACGCTTGTGTGTCTCAGCAGCAGCCAATGGGCAAGCAGGCAAGCAGCGTCGCATGGCAGCAGGTCAGCTGTCCTGCTGTTCTCCCCTCTGATTCTGATTTATATTGCCGCAGTTTGTTCAAAGCGGTTTTTTTACATCATGCCAGCTCTTCAGTCAGCAATTGCCTGCTGAGTGCCTAATTTTCTACTATAGATACCATTATAGTACTTTGCTTTCCTTTTTTGTATTTATGTTGCCGACATGTATGTTACTTGCTATGCCTCAATGCAATTTGTATGTTTTGGCCGGTCTCAAGCCATACCTACTCTTCTCGACCTTAAAAATCTATAACTTACCCTCCTATATATGATATCATGTTGCTCTGGTTTCAGCCTGTTGCCTACCTCTACTCATCATATATTTTCGTTGTGCCCTAAGATTTTGAAACTCTGTTATGCACTTTTGATACCCTGTTGTTACTAGACCTAAGTACAACTCTTTTCACAGGAAGTACAAGAAGCTCTAAAATATATCACTACCTGTAACATATGTCTATGTAGTCCTCTTTATATTTGTTTATTACTTTAGACTGGTTTCTACTCCATAAATAAAACATATCCTCTATCTGTATTTACAAACGCACGCAGGGCGCGCGCTTTCTACTAGTATTGCAGTATTGCTAACACCATTCACTCGTTCAGGCCTTGTTTAGTTCCTTCCCCTAAAGTTTACTCTATATCACATCGGATGTTTGGACACATGCATAGAGTATTAAATATAGACTAAAAAAATAACTAATTGCACAGATTACGACTAATTTGCGAGACGAATTTTTTAAACCTAATTAGTCCACGATTTGATAATGTGGTGCTACAGTAAACATATGCTAATGAATGATTAATTAGGCTTAATAAATTCGTCTCGCGGATTACTGATGACTTCTGTAATTTATTTTATTATTACTATCCGAGCACTCCCATGTGACACCCCGATGTGACAGCCGATGTGACATCTCTAAACTTTACTCCATAAATTTAAACACCACCTCAGTTCCGGTATGTACAGTACGAAGCATTCAAGCATCATTCAGAGAGCGCCTCAAAACATATTTCAATTTGTAGAGCAGAATTAAGCAAGTAGCTTCTGCACCCGCTGATGATTCACGAACAAAAACTTACAGATCCAATACTTGCGCTAACACCGATTTAGTGTGTAACACACTAACACAGTAACAAATATATTGGCCTGGCATCTGCCATTTCATCTTGTTGCTGCTCAGCGCTCACTACCAGGTTCCCAGCAGGCCGACAGTATTTTCTCACTCGGTCTTGATCAGCTTCTTCACAATGCTCTGAAGAGCTGGCGCACTGGCACTACATTTCTGATCAGCAAAGCATGACCTCCCTTCCTCGGCCGCCTTGCACAGCTGCAGATCCATGGGCACCTTACCAAGGAAAGGAACCCCCATTTCACGGCACATCTTCTCGGCGCCTCCCTTGCTGCTATCAAACACCTCACTGCAGGCCATGACTGACAGAAGCTCAGGGGCTTTCTCCTTGATATAGTTCAGGGCCCACTCTGTGGCATCTGTCTCGCCTGCCTCACCTGGCTTGACGAATTTGAGATCTGAAAGCGGCTGCCTCAGGCCACTGATGTTCTCCAGAACACCTAGGACAGGGACACCGACCTTCTTGCAGAAGTTTATCTCCTTCCTCACGCCAATCAGAGAGATCTGTTGCGGAGTCGTGACAATTATCGCACCATCAATTCCTGTGGCTTGCAGGTATTGCACGATCGAGATGTGCTCATCAGATGTTCCTGGAGGAGCATCCACTACAAGATAGTCAATCTCCCCCCAATCGACATCCTTTAATAACTGCTTGATCAGTCCATTCTTGCGAGGACCCCTCCATATGACAGCATCATCTGGATTACGCAGCATGAAACCAATCGACATCACACCAAGGTTGGACTCAACATACACAGGCGACCAACCAAGGTTGCTTTGATATCTTGTCCCTCAAGGCCTAACATTTTTGGGATGCTAGGGCCACATATATCTATGTCCAGAAGACCAACCTGATGGTCCATTTCAGCTAGGGCAAACGAGAGTTGGGCTGAGAATGTGCTCTTTCCAACACCTCCCTTTCCAGACAAAACTAATAATTTGTGTTTCACAGTAGCCAACCTCTCAACAATAGCAACCACATCTACAAAATACAGTCAGTCAATAATCAGTTCATTTTCACCAAGCACATATACAAGCAGCATGTAAATAGTGTCCATGTATATATAATTGATCCATTCACCTATGGCGAACGGTTTAATCATACTGAACTGCATGCAAAAATAATCGTAGCTCAAGATAAATGGCAACAAACTACAAAAGGTTAGGCAATCACACATTTGACATTTTAAACATGATGCTTTGCTCCAGTGAAATGTATCAAAAATAAATTACAATGATTATCACATTTAGAGTTGTTGATGATTGCATTTAGGCGAAACATTTATTTATAGCACTGGCAGGTGCTCTCATGGGTGACTGGTTACTGGGTCGCTCTCAGTCCAGAGACCCAGGTTCGAGCCCTGCATCCTCTTAACTAAAAAGCAGGGGTGCGGTCTGCTCCTCCCTGTCAAGTTTTTTTATTTATTTATAGCACTGAACTGATTGATGGAAGTCACTGAAAGCTTGATGGTGTAGTCTTTAACATTCAGTAAGTATATAGTGCAGGAATAGAGGATAATCGCATTGAGTGTCTTTCCTGCTCAATCTAAAATTCTTCAAGCCTCAACATTTACGACAAGCAGATGGATTGTGTACAATGTTCGTAAAGCTGCTAATTACTGAAAATGGAGGCAATTCATTGAAGCAGCTTTAGCAAATAGGTCAACAAACTAACACTCAAGTAGCACAAATTGTAAAATCTTGCATATTCATACTCCATAGAACAACCTCTCAAAGATCATGGAGATCCCAAGGTAACTAAGAAGTTTGTATCAGAAGTAACAGAAAATGATTGTTGATGTTTTTCCAAAAATATTCTTTTTCCATGGTATGGTCTGCAATCCTTGTAAGGTAAGGAAAAGGCAGGTTTGAACCAACAGAGCCTACAACCTAGCATAAAAAACCCTCAAACGCTTGGAACAAGATCCAAATATAAAACCATGCACTCTTTTAAACTCACCAAATTCAAGATTCATCAAAGTTAGAACCTTCAATAGCATTAGTTGCAGTGAACTCTTCCTATCCTTTTGGAATTTGGATTAAAGGGATGTGGCATCTGGATACCACCACCAGGTCATAATGAATTCTTTATTTCTTTTACAGGAATGAACATGTCATAACGAATTGCTTATAAGGAATTCAACAGGTAATAAGTGAATTGTTTTACAGGAATCGCAATTTCCCAAGTCCCCGCCACTTCGGTCACAATGTTTTTACACTAATCAGACAAAACTTTTAAGATGTCACAAATTTAATTGCTTCAATATTTAACTAATCAATTGGATTAGACTAGACGCAGGAGGGCACTGGTCTGGTGAAAATCTTTCATTAGGCAGCTGAAGACTTCAGATTCATCTCCCTTCGTTTTTGGACCTTCACTGCTCAAAAGGTTATGATTAACAGTACAAATTGACAATAAAGAGCATGCTAAAAAGCCTAATCACTAGCAAGAGTTCACCAACTAACGGTTACCACAATCACAGATCATAAACATTTGTTCATGAGGCTTTTCTTGTGATGTGTAGCCCTGTAGCACATGGGTGCACACAGGTTTGAAGCAACATAACCTACTATCTAGCAAACCCGCCAAATACTTGGAACAAGATTCAAATATGAAATCTTGACACTAAAGATCCATCCATGTTTGAACCTTCTTTAGCAGCAAAGATAACAGGATGTGGCATCAGGATACCAGGTGCCCCCCTGGATACTACTACATGTTTGGATCACCATGAATTATTTTACCGGAACCACAACGTCCCAAGTCCCTACCCTTCTTTCCTCAGTCAGCGACATTGTTTCCGTACTATACTCTGACAAAGCTAACTTACTTTGAACAATTCTTAAATTTGATTGCTTCAACATTCAATCATATAATTGGATAAAGCAAGTACATGTCTAGTGCAAATTTGGACTCTTTTATTGGTGCTAAAATTTCTGATTCAATTCCCTTTGTTTTTGGACATCAACTTCTCAAAACCACATGCTATTTCTACCAGCACTTGGCCTTTACTTATAAGCACTTGCAGCTGTTGTAAATCCTTAAATCTAAAATGCTTCAGGGGGCTCAAAAACAGGAAAAAAAAACCAAATCTACGGGCACTGTAATATAATGTAGAGACTTTTCCCTGTATGCCATTATAAAAAATCGTAATCCCTTGTGTGCCCCTGAAAAAATTCAGCGGTCTTCAACGCCATTACTCTAATTTTTTCGGGTCTTCCATGGCACTTCCGTCAGTTCAGGATCTAACGCCGTCAAACCGCAGGTGTGAAAAGACGAAAATGCCCTTAAGTTCAAATATGTTATTAATTTTTTTGAGCATCTTAACGACTTCAAATGAAAAAACTCAAAACTAGAAAGTTGTAGATCTCGTCAAGATCTATAATTTTCATATAAAATTTATTTTCATTTAATTCCGCAAAAAAAATATGATGATTTTTCTAAGATATATTAATCATATTAAATCATTTTTTTTTCGGAATTAAATGAAAATAATTTTTATATAAAAATTATAGATCTCGACGAGATCTACAACTTTCTAGTTTTGAGTTTTTTCATTTGAAGTCGTTAAGATGCTCAAAAAAATTAATAACATATTTGAACTTAAGGGCATTTTCGTCTTTTCACACCTGCGGTTTGACGACGTTAAAGCATGAACTGACGGAAGTGGCATGGAGGACCCAAAAAAGTTGGAGTAGTGGCGCTGAAGACCTATAATGTAACCTTACTGGTCAAATAAAATGATACGACGGTTGATGGAGATAACAGTAAACCAGTACCAGAGCAAATCACAGAATCGAATGGAATTAAATACAAGAAAATGCATGATTCACTTAGGGCCCCTTCGGTTAGTCAGGAATGAAGCCCGGAACTATTCCTGTTCATCAACTTTATACAAATTCGTGAACCATTCCAGCCGGGAATCGTTCCAGGGGCTGATTCCGTAGTAACCGAACGAGCCCTTACCGGGATCAGGGCCCTTGGGGGCGGTGGAGCAAATCTGCTGGTTGGGGCATCCGGCGCAGGCATCCGCCTTCCCCGCCTCCTCCGACTGCGTTCCAGGGCAATCTGAGCAACACCAAACAAAGCATATTCAGAAACACAAATACCCTTGAGCCCGATCAAACTCCAGAAAACATGGCTGCAGAAGAGAAGACGAAGTTCGAGGGCACCGGAGGGCACAGGGGAATGGTTCCTTACGCTCATTCGCGTCGTCGGGGACGTCGCCTTTGCCTTTGCCTTTGCCGCTGCCGTTCTCCATCTCTCTCTTCTCCTGCTGTTCCGGCACCGGGGTTTGAGTCGTCTCGCGGTCTCGGCTATGGCTGGGTACGAGGAGCCGCCTCGGCTCGAACTCGTTAACCTAAAGAGCCAGGTCGCCTCAGCTCGTTAGCTAAAACTTTAGCTCGGCTCGGCTCGTTTTTTTTTTTGACAGTAAACTACGGAGGGGAGAGATTCCCCGCCTGGATTTCATTGCCATTCAAAGAAAGTGTTTGTTACTGAGGGGGAAAAAATCACACATCTTGGAGTTGTGGACACATGCGTGATCTAAGAAAACAGCTCCATCGACGGAGACCGGGGACCATATCAGCAGCTGCAAATCTTTTCTCCCAAGTCGCAAGTCATCAGAAACCCGAGAAATGACCTGCCGAGCAGTATACTTCTCACTTCTAAAGATGGTGCCGTTCTTGGTATCCCATAGTCGCCATAAAATTGTGAGCAGCACGGACGGCCATGTGGCTGGGTCTTGTGAGAGGGTTCGTGGCATCGACCAAATATTCATATCCTCTGTGAGCGCGCCAGGGAAGGAAGGCCAATGCGGCACCATAATTCTTTACTGAGTTGACAGTTAAAGAAAGCATGGCGCCTGTCTTCACTAGGATGGTTGCAGCGACGACAGACAGCGTCTTCCAAGATGTTTTTGTGATACAGGTTAGCTTTGGTGCTCAGCCGATCCTTGAAGTACAGCCGTGCAAAATTTTTAACTTTGTTCGGCACTTTGGTATTCCATATCCAATTCCCATGGAAATCTTGTACACTGGGAGTTGGGGCAAGCGCTTCATATGCATCGCGTGTCCGGAAAGCTTTGCCCGTGTTCTTCATGCGCCGAATATCCGGCCCCTCTTGGAGCTGGGTAACCTGTAAAAGAGATAGCAAGGCTCCAAGCTCGGTGCTCGCAGCCCGCGTTAGTCACGGGCGAAGATGCAAATCAAACCCATCTCGAAAAACTTGCTGCACGGAGACGTTAGGCATCAGAGTGTGAGAGAAGAGGGCGGGATAGACGATAGAGTTGGGTTCATGGTGAAGCCACTGGTCGTACCAAAAAGAAGTGGAAGATCCATCACGGACCTCAACGCAAGTGATAGAACGGTAGGCATTAAGCTCATCGCTAATAATCTTCCAAAGGTAGGAAGGGGAGGAGGAGGGAGATTCAGAAAAAATGGAGTCATTGCGATTGCGAAGCAGCCAGTCCTTCCAAGGGGCAGAATCACCAGAAAGAAATTTGTCGACAAATTTGAGAAGAAGGCATCTATTTTGCAGCTCCAGGTCCTTCAGACCAAGCCCCCCAGCAACTTTACTAGTGCAAACATGCTCCGAGGCCAATAAGCATTTGGAACCATGGCAGGAATCCTCGCCGGCTCGGCTCGGTTCATTAGCACTTGATGAGACAGTTCGTTTGACTAGCGAGCCTGCGTCTAACTGCTCAAAAAGAGGTTGGAGAAACTTTGCA